ATCATCTCCACGATAGAAATGATAACGCCCCCTCCTAAGATCTGGAAGCCACTCTGTTTATCAGATGCTGAGCAACAAAACCCAGCAAAAAGCTTCTTTCTTTTTTAGCACTACAACTTCTCCAATGTAAGCACAGGAAAGTGATTGTTTTTAATGGCAGGCATTTACTGAACTATCCCAACAGCATTAATCCAAACGTGCACAACGGCTCTGGAAAGTTTCAGCTAACACCACGTGGTACTGATAACAGACTTCTCAAACTCTGCACAAGGACTTTTTCGAACTCCACAACCTGCTCAAACAGGTGATGGGGCTGGTTCACCTCATTTCTAGTGCCTGGATGCAAAGAGAGATCATTTCCAAAGGGTCAACCTCCCACAGGCCAAGCTCACTCTAGTCATACTTGTGAAAACACTGGATGTGTTCAAAAAGAAGCCATGCTTCAAATGCTTGACCCATAGGAGTTTTGTGGGGTTGCAAGCACTAAGACCACTTGAAAGGTTGGGAACCCAAGTTGCTTATGAGCAGAGGACTGGGGTGGCTGAAAGCTGGGAGCATTATCAAACAAAGAACTGTACGTGAAACCAAGCAGGGCAACTCTTCTGGAAACAGCTACTTTCATGGAGCATCCTAGAGATAACCCAGTGCCATCAAGACAGTCCTCCACCCCCACTCTTGCTCACGTGGCATCCCCCACCTAACCCCTCCCAAGAAGGCAGCTACATCCACATGCTAGTAGTTGCAAATACACCTCCTTTTCTCCCTCCCAAGACAACTTTTTTTTTTTTTAAATGCTGGATACAGTGAAAGGCAATGTAACAGGTTCATGTGGGCAGGACCCACGCTGCTTACCTCTGGGGTCTAAAGGAATATTGTATGTGTCCCCAAGAACTACAAAGTTTAGGGCAAGATAGAGAAAAAAGGGAAGGGAGGAGAGAGAAAGAAACGTAAAGTGCAAAAAGACAGGTTAGAGACCACCATCCCTTCAAGAACAAAGCAGATATTAAACACAGAGCAGCCACATAACAGGCAGGTTTACTCCTTCAAGACCACAGACCGAGCCGGATATTAAGGAAGAACTTGGTGGTCCGTGCCAGCAAAAAGGATTTAGTGTGCCCATCACCCTCTCACAACAAGTGTTACCAAGGACAGTCAGACCCCGTCCCAATGGCAAGATTCCCATTCCCATTCCAATGGGAGTTGGGTTATTCTGTCAAATGAACTGTATTACTTGGAGGACTATTCAGTAAGACCTTATGCCTGCAAGTGCAGGCTAAAAGCCTTTTTTAAGATACAGAAGATGTTTTGGCTGGCACAGATTTTGCCAGCAGTTGTTGAGTGCGCAGCAAGAAATGGTGTTCATACTCCCGTTCTTGTGTGCTTTCTTTCCGCAGGTGAAAACATTTCTACTTGAGTGGAACATTTCACCAGAGGCAAAAACCCAACTGTCTCACCAGCCAATCACGTGGAACAGCTGGAACACAATATAATATCACAAACAACTCTGTGCTATCAAAGCTGGCTGTTTCCTGCATTGGACTAGATACCTGTAGCAGCAGGTCTAGTTTCCTGGGGTCAGCCACAGAATTCCCTGCTGTTGCTAGCTCTGCAGGAGAAGACTACTGGCAAAAGGTGAGGAGTGTGGATGACCCTGACAGATCCTGGATGTCTAATGACAGCAGAGAACGTGCTTTATAATGCTTCCTCTCACATGCAGCTCTGAGGCAACAGGTGCCAACTTAACTCACCAGGCCTAGGTATCATGATTATCCTGACCTGGTATTTTTACAGGCTGAGAAGATGCATTTCTTTTGCTGACTTTTACCATCAAGATGTTCCTACACCTAGTGGGACAATTCACTGCGTTTAACACGCAGAGCAGCCTGCACTCCAACAGTTTGCCTTACAAACCTCCACAAAAAGCTTACAGCAGGCTTGTAATGATTTCCTGCTCTGGTTCTCCACCACACAGCCTGGCTGCACTTTCCAGCCTTGGGGTAAGTAATGAGGACCTTGTCTTTTAGACAAGTAGAGAAGAAATTATCAGTTTCCTCTGAAGCTAAAAGCTGCATTGTCTCTTTGGTCAATGAAAGAGTTAACTCTGCAGATACTCTGACCAGACATGTAGTTTAGCAGGGAAGAAGGGTGGCCGTTAGAGGAGGATGATGGGAGGCAGCGGAAGTAGACAAAGAAATGGAGCGGACTCCAGTGTGGGTGTTCTCACTGCTGTTAATGAAAGGAGACTGGGTGAAAGGTACACAAGACGAGTCAATGCAATTCATTGTGATCAAACCTCTTTACCCAATAACTCGGCGGGACTGACTTGTATTCATTTGAGAGATCAGACTGCAGGAGACAGCAGGTACCTAGTTTATTTATAGGATCTCTGCCTGGTTTATTTATAGGACTTGTCAGCTGCATCTCCCTACCTCATTGCAGAGGCCGACAACTAAAATGTGTGCCAGCTGGCAGCACATCTGGAAGGCCAGGCAGCAGCCAACTGTTCATCCCTTTGAGACCTCCAGGTGATCATCATCGTCATGGAAGTTAAGGCAGATCATGGGGTGGGGGCCTATGCAGAGTACTCGTTAAGGAGGTTTAACCTTGTTAAGGAGAATGGCTC